GTAAACAAATTGAACTGAGTTATATATATATATATACATGTATTTAGGGGATACGAAAAAAATCTGATCTATTACGAAAAAGTAATAGATGATAGACTCACTGTAGTTGTTAAAATCATAGGCTTAACTAAGTTTCTATGCTTATGCATTGAATAAGACTTTCTTTGAAGTTGATTATTACTAGATTTTTGTATAAAAAGATAAGTTGTATCAGCTATAACACATAGTTGGTTTGGCTTATTAGTATGAAGAATAGTAGCAATGGCTGTTTGATGTTGTTCAATGGCTGTTTCACGAGTAATATGTTTTAAACCCAAATGATAAGGAACAAAGTCCTTCATTAGAGCTTTACGGATTTGATTGTTGATGTGAGAAACAACTCTTTTATTTTCCAGATTAAATAAAACTGCTAAAACCCGGTTACTTAAACCCAAACGTAATTTTGCTAGAAACATAGCAACAGCAAGACGTACTGATCTTACATGAGAATTTCGTATAGATGATACTGTATTAACCACATGATTAAATTGTTCTGCAAAAAAATATTATAAGAATATATATAAAATAATTATTCTCAATAAAATCAAGAAATTTCGTTAGCATAGATATTATATTCTCAGGTGTTTGATAATTTCCCCTTTCAAATAGACTAAAATATGTTTTAATTGATTTACAATAATTCAAACAGAAAAAGTGGAGTTAGAAAACTTTCATCTAATGCTTTATACAATTTCAACTACTATTTTTAATCTTGAAATACCTTTACTTAATCCAACAATAGTCTGATAATCTTCGTCACTGAAGCAAGATGGATCATCAAAATCAAATTTTTTTTGTTTAAATAATACAATACGAATATCTTAGACAAATATTTGAAATTCATCTGAATCAATTTTCCATCGATCAGGTTTCGATACACGAATATGATCAAACGATTTAATAGTTAATCCATCTTCACACAAATGACTTGTACAACATCGAGAACCTGGTGCAACAAATATACCACATTTTAAAAATACCATTGTTCTTTGTATACGTGATAAAACTTTTGCTGAACAAGAATCTTTTTCATCACAAAACACGCAAGACCTAACATAAAAACCTATTTTTATTACAGAGTATAAGAAATGTTCTTACTGATGTGATTTAGAACATCGAAAAATTGGAATACTAATACTATTAGGTTGAGTATCAATATTTGCATTTGAAAAGATTGTAGCAACATTATCAACACCAACACTCATCACCTATTAAGATCACATATATAATCAACAATATAACAAAATATTATTCCTTACACTATCATCATCAATATTCATAGATTCCATATCAAATTCAGCTGCACTATTGTAGTTGTCAAAATCACCTTCCATTTTCTGCTGCCATTTAAGAAACTGTGAACGACATTTCTGACAAATCATATCATCACAACGAATACGCTTCGAAAATTTTACAGCCAAAAACAATCGCAAAAGACCAGCATCAACTTCACGAAATTGATTCAAGTCCAAGCCTCGTTCGCAATCAATACATTTACTACGTGCTGTATGAGGCATGTTATATATATAACTAAAAGAGAAAATAAACGGTTCAACTATACACTTCTTTTCTTTCATTCCTTCTTGACCTTTTGTTCCGCATAACGTTGACCATACCATGATTAAATCGAAAATCTGTCTAGGTCATCTCAGACAACTATTTCTTTTTATTCCCCATATTTACAAACTATACTAACGTTCACATGACATAAAAAATTTTTTTTTCATATTATTCAACTATAATTAAAACATTACGCTTAGATTACTGAAATCAGTACATTAGATATAAAGATGACTCATTATAGGTTAAGATATAAAATTTTAACACTTATATACCGTATAATAGAATACATAGTTTGTTATATAAAAGAAAAAAAGAAAATATTATGCATATATAAATACATATTTATATATGTTATATAAGTCTGATATATTCGCTCATATCAATAATATGGCATGTTCTAAAATCACTTCAATTCATCCGGTTTATATTGCTTAACATTGTTCCTACTAGCTGAACATTTTTAAAAATAAGTTTTATTATATTATCAACAGTTATGAAATGTTATTTTAATGAAAAGTGTGAAAAACATATAGTTGTGAGACATTACTATATATTGATGATATTCATAGAACCTATAATATGTCATAGTGCATTTAGATATATGCTTGAAAATTTTTAGAATACTTTAAGACTCACACACAAATATAAATCCATATCAAACTAATGGATAAAAACAAAATGTCTATGATAGTTGAGAAAATTAAATAAAAAAATCTTAAAAAATTCCATGGGTAGGGTATATAATAACTATTATGGTCCTATGATGTACCATGGGCCAAGGTTTTTTTTTATTAGAAATATAATAGAATTGTAGCTCTTGAAAAGAGCTATCAAATGGTCTATATGAGAATTTTGGTACCTTCCATTTTTCCGATAAAATATTCGTTGAAAGATAAAAGTTAGTGATAAATAAAGACCACATATCAGCAGTGTCTAATAATATGTCAGATCTTGTTCTCACTGAATCGTACAAGGAACTATTAATTCTTATTTAGGACTAGAGTCCTATCAAGAAGCTATCAAATACTTAATTTCGCAACCATTTTTTCTTATCAAATTACACCAAAATTGGATCGCCATGGATATGGTCGATTATTGAATTAGTGCCCAAAAATAAGTAACTTTGTAAATAGCTTTTCGCTTCAAAGGTTCGATCGAAACCCCATCAAAATAGCATCAAAATGTTCATTTTAACTTGCTCTTTCGAATGATGTATGATTCAATAGAATTATTACGGAAAATTCCAAATGGGCCGATTTGGCCTCTTATGCGCCCCCGTCCTTTGAGAAAGACTGAAAGTTCGTTTTTTAATGATTCTATGGATAGTCTGTTATGATGA